AGTACTGCAAAGAGTACTACAGGGACATCAAAAACCAGGGCGGGTGTGCCCCGTACCTGATCGGTGTGCGCCTATCTACTAATGTATGGTCCCGATCAACAACCATCAAGAGGTCGAGCCCGATATCTCGATGGATAGGGCGTTTGCTCCTGACCGGAGAGACGCGGGTTCGAAACTCGAGGGTGGCGGCAATTTCCGCTGCTACACTTGAGTAGAGTATATCCAACCGACGACGCCTAATAAGGCAGAAATGGCCATCCTAGATTCTCTTTAGTCTTACGGTAAAATGTCCTAAAAATAGTAAATATATTGCTAAAACATAGCAAGTAACGTTGCAATTAGCCATGTGGCAGGGTTCGTGGGTGCACGAACCACACAAGGACATCAGAAACCAGGGCGGGTGTGCCCTGTATCTGATCGGTGTACGCCTATCTATTAAAGTGCTATAAATACTTAGTAAGTGACTAGGACTTAATGTCAAGAGGATCTCCAGATCCTAATGTTTACTGCACGAAGACCCACCAAGCAACAATTTTAATTTAAATCTCATGAATATCATAAATCTCTGGATCACCGTGGATGGTTCGGACTTGGTTGCCGGTTGCTAGCTTCCAGACGCGGTCGTTCTTTAATGTCACGCTTCCGTATAATTCTTCTAGGCTGTCCCAAAATACTCCTTATAAGGGTGTAGCACTTTTTAATAGTCGTAGGCCTGATGTGAAGGATTCTAAGTTTCTTAATTTTTATTAGTTCATTTTATTAGTCCATTCCTGATCGATGGCTTAGGTGTATCGGTATCATGGATCAGCCTAGTGATTTTATTTTAAAGAAAATAATCTAATATTTTATGGATCGTGTCTTTATCCATCTCAAACCGCTTATGAGTACGCTCATCAGAGAACAACATAGATCTAAACTGTCACTCTGTTATACATTGATTTCTCCTTACTCAACTTTGTAGCGGTGATTCCAAAGGTATTCTACTCTAAACAAACCTTTACTACACCCAGTTCCACACCTGTAGGGAACGATTTTCTGCGAGATAGTACACTTTCCACAAGGATAAAATATATAAGCCAAGAGAGAAAGTGGAGCACCTGTGATATTTCTGCTTTGTTACTCCAAGAAGGTGTAAGAACAAACCGTGCAATGTGAAATATTTGAATAAGAGACGAGTAAACAGACAGAAAAAGTTAATTGAAGCATATTGCCTAACGCAGGGCGAGTTGGGTAAAACGGCATGCGACAGGCGAGCATGACCCAAACTCTAATTTTAACCCTAACCTCAACTCAAACCCTTTACCTAACCATAATCTAGAACGTTACCGTATGAACGTACACCTTAACTTAACCCTTACACTAGGTTCCAAGCTTCAAATCCAAATGTTAACCATCAATCCTAGTCCCAACCCTAAAAACCCTACAATAGATAAATTCTAACAGAACATGCCTACCCAAATTAAATAAGTAGATATGATATAGCAAACAAAATGTAGGCGAAATGTACAATCATTATTATCATTTCTAGTTCCCTCTTTCCCACATCACATAGTTCAGAGTGACAAACCTTTGCTGGTCACAAGAACTTGGGTTTACGCATCCATCCAAGACGGCAAATGGTAGCATCATTTTTCTGAACCGGTCATTTAATATTATGTGTTTGCGTTACCCGTCTTAAATATGCAGTTATGGTTGCTTGCGTTCAGTATTTACGGAAATTAGAACAAATGCTTAAGGGATATCTTTACAGATAATCATTAGAAATAAATGTATAAAGCGTTCTTAGAATAGCTAATTTTTCAGAGGATGTTGTTCCGTTTGCATCCAACACACGTAGTATAACCAAAGTCTGGGGTAAGTAGAATCTTTTTTATAAGCAATACAGTGAACGTGGACTCAGACAATGTTTTTTTTCATTTATTCCTCTGTCTTCTGGTGCACGGAGAAAATTATAAAGTCCGCTACCTTTTTACCAAAAGGGTAGTTTAACGGAGGAATCAAAAACAGGCTAATATATAATGCTACCTAACCATAAGTAGTCTTGTCTTTTAAAAAGCGTTATAGTTCCTGCCTCATTTTATTAAGTAGTCATTGTGCCCCTAAAACGGATAGATGCGTTGAACCAAAGGGGAAACTTGACTAGGGTCTTCTTCACTCTACCTTGAACTCATAAAAATTTGAGTGAGGGAAGAAAGAATGCAGTAGATTCTGCTCGAGTTTGCTAATAATTGGAACTAATTCACGCCCAATCCACTGTTCCTTCGCTCACCATACTGTGAAACATGCCGTGGATCTCATCAAAATAAACGACCGAACTGCCATTAACAAGTCATATTTTAGCCAGACTGGACGCGATCGTTACTGTGACAGCTTTCTGATATTTTTAGCATCCAAGACTTCTTCTTATGTCCTTTTCTAATCAACAACTTCCCATATTGAAAACGAATATCAGGGCTGCGCTCATTCCCCCTCTTTCGATCCCAAGTATTGGAAGCAGCGCTTCTTCTCCTGAACTTGCCAACGACTCATCCGAATTGTACTTTATACGAAACCGATTTAAGATGTCGAACGGCGCATGATCGTCAATGTCATAGAATGCTTTTGCGTTGGCTTGCTGGGAAATCCACGTAAGCTTTGTGTTTTTGAAGGATTTTCAGAACTATTTTGTTCTATGATAA